ACCTGTTTGTGCCGACTCGTCCTCTGCTTCTGCTTGTGTTTGCTGCTTGCTCTGCTGCTGTGGCCCGTCTTCATCCTGTTGAACCTGCTGCTGCTCCACGTCCCCTTCTTCCTCATTGGACGACACTGGGACCACCTTTACTGTGATTGGTAGTCTCGACACTGTGCTGGCCACACTCATGGGCCACACCTTTAAAGCAAGACAGTCTTTGTTACTGTAGTCACAACTCAATGGCTAAAAATGACCTCAAAGAAATTTCTGATCCTTTTTTTTTCTACATCAAACAAGTACTGCAGAGTATTTAATGCAACTATTCAGAAGTGAGGATTTAGAACCTTGTGTGTCTGCATGTGTTTTTTCACGTTGGACTTCTGGGCGAAGGCGCGGCCGCAGACGATGCACTGGAACGGCTTCTCTCCTGTGTGGCTGCAACCGGAAAACAGTTAGAACTCACTTTCTTCTGGATAGATATATATGTTCATATAGGTACAGTTTACCTGCTGGCAAGTAACTCACCTTCTAATGTGCTGCTGAAGATCAAAGTTTTTCGAGAAGATTTTGTCACAGAAGTTACACTTTAGTTTGGGGCCTTTTCCCTTCAGCTGCTCTGCTGAGAAGTGAAATTAATAGTTAATAATTATCGACGGCTGTTATGCTGTCCCGTACGGCTTAATGAAGGCAGCATGCAAGTGTGTCCGTATGAAGATGTGTGGTGGATTCTTAGTGTTTCAGAGAATCTTCAAAGTATGAAGTTGGTCAAATATAAGAAGTGATGTTTTGAAAAAGTAAAAACTTTTCATCTTGTTTAATCTTTGTCCCCAGATACCTGTGGCTCCATCTGAGCTTTTTTTGCTGTTCCTGGGTCTTTTGGGAATGATGACCTTTTCAAAGTCACCCAGCTCTGTCATGTTGGTGGTGATGCTGCAGGTCTTTGTCTTGGTGCCTTGCTTCCCGGGGCTGTAGACAGGAGGGGTAGTGAATGACTGACTCTCCACACACTGACTGGGCACCTACAGGAGACACACACAGGCTTGGTGCTTTGTCTTGGAATAGCAAGGTGAGGTAGGAACCGAACAGCGAGCTTTACTCACTTGTACAGAATGGAAAGGCTGCAGACCCAGGGTGTGGATCTCAGCACCGCCGCTCCCGGCCATGTGGGGCAGCGTGCTGTACACCTGCACCACTGAGTTGCTGTGGTTTGCTGGGACCTGTGAGGACAGTGGCGGCTGGGCGGGCTGTCCAGATGGTAGGGGGTGGGCTGGTGCCTGGCTGGAGGGCAGTGGGTGGGAGGACTGCTGCTGCTGCTGCTGCTGCTGTTGCTGCTGTTGCTGCTGTTGCTGCTGTTGCTGCTGCTGCTGTTGGTGATGATGATGATGGTGGTGGTGGTGGTGGTGATGGTGCTGAAGGTAGGAGACACCAGCTGTGTGCATGCTTAGGTTGCTCTGCAATACGAAGAAGGAAGCAGTTAGATTTGGAGGATATCGTGCAGCAAGGCCTAATCCCAGTTACCTCACTCATGGACCCACAGACTTTCTTCATGTGTGTGTGTGGACTAACAAGACCCAGGGTCTCTATTCTAAGTGAATAAGGAGAGAACCATAACTGCAATTTCAATAGTAACTGGGACATAAACACAGCATGGACAGAATCACCATCCATCCATCCATCATATCAGGAAAAAAAAAAGAAGAAGAAAATCCTTGGAAAGATTTCTGACTTTGCCTCAAAAAAAAACCCTTTAAAATGCTTTTTTTCGCTTCCTGCATCTTTTACTACATGTGCACAGTTTCACAACTCCGTGCTTTCATCAGTGCTGCAACACGATTGGCTAGATGTTAATCAGTTTGGCCGCTACAAACAACATAACTGCCTTTTTGAGGTGGGGGCGTGAAATGTTCACACAAGTTCCATCTTTGCCGTTACAGAATTGTGTCACAGATTTTGAGGATTTCTTAAGCGGTGGGTCTCTTCCTTACAAGAGTTCACACAAGAGTTACAGATGTTCATTTGCTGAAATGCATAAATATCATAATGTCCCAACAGGGAGTAATCAACTGTGCAGCAAAAACAAAAAACTGTAAACGGAGCACGACTCCAAATCCACTCCTTTGGAATGGTGAATCAAGCGACGTGTGCTGCCACAATAAAATGCTCCATTCCTCCATTTCATACGATCTCAAGCCCACAACGTCAGCTACGTCTGTGATGGTTCGGGCATAAGATTGTTTAACAAAGGTGACAGGAGAAACATCTGCTGTGTGATGTCACTTCCTGTTTGTTACCTGTACAGGTGTCTGCATGGCGGCCATGGGCTGGTCAATAGAAGTGAAGGCTGAGATGGCCGACATCAGAACGTCGTCGCTGACCAGCACGTTGCCTTGGACCAGAGTGTGCGTCAGAGGGGACGGAGGGACTGTGATGTAGGTGGACACCTGATGGAAAAAAAAGGAGAAATACACCAACATATGAAGTGCATTTGTGTGTCTTTCCAAAGAGCAACATCTCCTGAAAGAAATTCCTCTGTATTCTTATCCCCCTGCTCTTACTGCTGTCTCCTTTATAATAAAAGATTCCTTTAATCTTGTTTACTATTACTGGAGCCCTCGTTTATTTTCTTCTTTCTAACCAGTTCAGATTCTTTACAGACAAAGCAGCAAAATAAGATCTAAACTATTAAGTGATTCATCAAACAGTTACCACCCATGTAAAAGAATCCCTCTCTGTCCTCACCTGTCTGTTGGCAGGAGTCTGCGGCACGGAGCTGATGGACGGGACGGCTGTGTAGGCGTTGGTGGAGGCCAAGGAGACCGTGGACAGGGAGGGGGCGTTGGGCTGGCACTGCTCCCTCTTGTGTGTCATGAAGGCTGGCAGCGAGTTAAACTGTTTCTTACACTTGCCGCACAGGAACACGTCTTCATCGTCTGCAGAGCGAACACAGATGGAGGGTTGAGACGAATGCAGCAAAAACAATGAAGAGGAGGACTTCAGAACCGTGAGCGTTTTCATACAAACAATAAATTCTGATGATACGACATATGATTCACATGTTGCATTGTTTAGTCAATTTATAAACCATGAAAGCTGTCAACTCCTTTCCTGCTCCTGTTAGGTCTTTTAAAAGAAAACGATTCTGGCACGCAGGATGCATTTTACGTTTAAACTCAAAAACACCAATGATGAGCAAACAACAGATTAACCTTTGGAGGCAGCATTTCACAGACTAAATGCCATAATCTGAACAAGTGTGCCTGTTTTTACAAGCTGGTCTTGAGACAAGATTTTTCTAAATTTCCCTGGCGTACCACCTCAGCCAAAAAATGTTGTGAGGATCTTGTCTAGCATCCAAATTCCTCTTGCCGTACAACATTTCCACGAGTACAACAAGAGAACAACACTGCAGCTGCTGCATACCCATCGACTGGATAGTGGGCGTCCCAGAGACGTTCTGGTTGTTGGGATCAGGAACTCCTCCTTGGCCGTCCAGCAGAGACTGAACCGCCAGAACCGTCTGGTTGTCCATGCCTGAAGAGGAGGAGGAAGAGGAGACATAGTGCTGCTGTAAATATTGGTATTAAGTATTTTCACTGAACTGTACCAATACATTTGAATAGAGAATGAGCAGAGTCAGTCACCTTCAGGTTTATTGTAAACTACATAGAAAATACAACAAACTGATTCTCGAGTGCTGCCAAAGCGTAGAGGCCCCGTGTTTTCATATACAAACTGCACCACATGTCACANCAGCAAGGCCTAATCCCAGTTACCTCACTCATGGACTCACAGACTTTTTTCATGTGTGTGTGTGTGTGTGTGTTTGTGTGTGAGGGCTCAGTGACGTCCTACCGTCTAATCAGGTGCATGAAGGCTCTGATGCAGACTTTTCAATACTATCATGCACCTTCTCTGTAAGTCTGTACATCTGCAGACTTTATTGAGGCTGAATGTTGACGTATAAATGTGATCATGGTGCCGTCCACAGAAAGTACATAAACTAAGCAAAGATGGTACATTTAAGAAATCTGCTCAGACTTTGATTTGTAAGTGAGAGCATCCGGTTGCTCACTGTTAAGGTTATTTACTAGGTATTTTACTATTTGTAGAAATCTTTGTGTTTTCAGTCAAAGTTCCTCTTGAGCAGGTTTCACTACTTGGCAGCTGTTTGGTAGCACCTCCAAGCAGAGCTAACAAGACCCAGGGTCTCTATTCTAAGTGAATAAGGAGAGAACCATAACTGCAATTTCAATAGTAACTGGGACATAAACACTGCATGGATAGAATCACCATCCATCCATCCATCCATCCATCCATCCATCCATCCATTCATCAATCCATCCATCCATTATCTATACACCACTTAATCCTCACTAGGGTCATGGGGGGCTGGAGTCTATCCCAGCTGACTCAGGGTGAAGACAGGTTCACCTGGACAGGTCACCAGTCACCCAGCACAGTTTCACAACTCCGAGCTTTCATCAGTGCAGCAACACGATTGGGTGGATGTTTATCAGTTTGGCTGCTATAACCAAGATAACTGAAAGCTCGCACAAGTTGCATCTTTGGCGTTACAGAATTCTGTCACAGATTTTGAGGACTGAGTTACAGATGTTCATTTGCTGAAATGTATAAATATCATAATGTCCCAACACAGAGTAATCAACTGTGCAGCGCAAAAAAAAAACAACTGTGCTGCCACAATAAAATGCTCGATTCCTCCGTTTCATACGATCTCAAGCCTGTGACGTCAACTACGTCTGTGATGGTTCGGGCATAAGATTGTTTAACAAAGGTGACAGGAGAAACATCTGCTGTGTGATGTCACTTCCTGTTTGTTACCTGTACA